TAAAAGCTCCATTGTTACTCCAATATCCTTCGGAGAGAGGGAGCTCTGTTTTTTGTCTCCTTTTTCTTATTTTCTTTCTACTCGTTGGCCAAGATCTACGAGGAAGTGCAAACATTCATCAAGGCCAAGAAATGGCCAACAATATCATCAAACAAGCAAGCTGTGTCAGGTTGTTTGCCCAGTTAACTAACACAGGTTATCCAAATGAATTGCTATTAGAGTCCAACATAGTAACAGCTGGCGGAATTGTATTTTTGCAAATTAAAATAAGGCCTGTTTTCCTGGATGGAAAAACTTGACTGAAAGTTATTATAACTAAAGAATTGCACAATAAATCTCCTTATATCTTTTGGTTTTTCGACTTCGGGATCACATTCACACTGGCCATTATTAATGGATAAGTCACACCTGGAGTTTAAAGCGTATACTAAATACACCTGTATTAAACAACTCTGCAGCTCTCCTGAAGCCCAGTATAGAAAAGAGTCCGTGTCCATGAGAAATACTCATACTCAAAATAAGTCTTTCTGGGACCATTTTGGGAGTGATTTCATCCAAAAAAAAACACACATACTTAAAACTAATGCAGTTCTTTTATTAGTTTAGTTGTTATATAAAACTGTTTTCTATATTAGACGACGCTACAGCCTAATAATGAACATGAGCCTGACTCTCATAATAAAAGATAGCGAGTGAAAATTGACTTGATTCCCACCTCATTATGTGTCAAACAAACCTGCTGTTATCTATTGCTCATTCACTGTCAGTTTTTCAAAGGTAGCGAAGTAGTTTGATGTTAAAAGGAAACAAAAATAGTGTAGGTTAGAAAGAAAGAAACGTGAATTAAATTATATAAAAATGAGAAATAGAAAATGATTCATAGCTTTTGTAACTACACATGAATTTGCAAGTAGGACGTTTTACAACCAGGTTTTCTGCATCCCCAATAGCAGATACATCCTGCGAATTAAAGTAGTGCAGTCTGGTTTGGAGAGTCACATGGAGACAATTTTAGGGATCATTTCTTCCTCTGTGCACTTTATAGATTCCACATCCTGATAAACAGCGATTTTGGTTAAGCTTTAAGGCACTTATTTATTTAATACAAAACAGAAGTACCAACAAATGTTTCTCCTTTTTCTCTTACAGATATAAGCTCCACTTCTGGTCTTTCCACACACAATCACACAGTAGAACCACACAATGTCAGGAAACTAGCTTTGAACATGTAGCACAAATCCAAAGCTGCACTGAACAAAAATGGGTTTTCCGAGTCCCTGAAACATTGTTCCTACGCCAGCTTGTCAATTTATTTTTGAAAACCATGGAATGAGAGGGAAGGAAGCAGTCTGAGGGAGGTCTGATGAAGAAAAGCTGCAGAGGTTAAAGGGTTCAAGTGGTGAGAAGAAGTTTAAAAACACAAATACCAATATTCATTTCTTCACCTTTTAGGTTTTCAGAGGACTTTGAGTCTGGGACAAGAATGTTTCAGAGCTGTGTTTAGAATATTGTTTTTACAATGTGTTTGTTAGTGCAGAGCCTAAGTTAAGAATGCACAGTTTATTGAGACAAAGACAGGCAAATGGTCCTTGTCTAATCGGAATAGCAGCCCTTTGTTTTTTCCTATCTTCTCTCCCAACCACACTCACTAAGCTCACTTGACTTTGGCTGAATGAACACGCTAATAATAATAAGTTAATTTAGAACTTACTTCAGCATTGCCAGGAAGTTTATATCATTGCCCTCCCACGTGGTTGCATGTATAGATACATAGGAATGTAGAAAAAGGTATTACAAAAAGAAACATGTGCAGCACACATGCAGCCATTTTAAACCTTTATCTTTGTATCTGCCACACCACAACCCATAATGGCGTGTCAACATCTGCATCCCATGCTCGGGGGGGGCTTAACTGTCGTGTGGTCTTTGGCAGATCGTGTGTTTTCTTACTGTCTTCAGTGAGGCATGCGTGGAGTCTATACACATGAGCACACACACACACACACACACACACACACACACACACACACACACACACACACACACACACACACACACACATACACACACACACACACACACACACACACACACACACACACACACACACACACACACACACACACACACACACACACACACACACACACACACACACACACACACTGGGGCTATTTTTAGAAAATACTTAGACTTTTTATGCCTCTCTGGTTATTGCCAGGCAGACTGTGTGTGTGTGAGAATGTGTGTGTTGTATGTCAAAGTCACTTTTGTGTGTAGGGGGGCCCCGGGTGGAGTCTGGCTGCCAGAAGGAATACGTAAAAATAAGAGAAACATAGAAAACCTTAAAATAGATATAGACCTGTTTTTTATAAAATATTCAGTTTTATGGTCCAGCCTCAGATTGCTCACTGCTTCTGCTTGGATACCATCCACATTGTTCTTTTGTTACTGCTGCAGATGTGGTTGGTAGTGTGTAGATTTATTCAGACATTATGCACCCTTTACATTATGATTCTAAATATGCATCTTATTAACCCCTTGCTGATGCCTGTTGTAGCAGCAAGACACATTTCCCTGTCCCTGTGTATCTCATCCAGCTGAAACATAGCATTCTGGTGTGAATGAGCATCCAGTCTTTACATGCAGGCGGCTAGTGGCCAAAGACTGACCCATCATGCAGACTATCCCTCTCTGGTCTGTGATGGCCACACAGCATAACTTGTTCTCCTAAATCCCCTGAATAATCCTGTCCCAGGGACTTCATCGGGACAAATGTCTCTGGAGATCGCAAACTTGCATTGTTTTTCAATTGTTTATTGTGGTTTCAGGGGGAAAGCCTGTCCAATGGCTCCACAGGGGTTATGATTCCCATGGTTTGCTGTTTGCACTGAGCTTACTGATTAGATTTCAATTTCTCTTCTGATCCTCAGTGACTTAATACATGCTCATCAAAGCTAACATAGCACTTTTTGGAGCATGAAGTTACTTCTAAAGCTGGAGGATATCAATTATATCAAATATAACTGATTCTAGGTCTAAAATTGAAGAACACAGTTCACTACATTTAAAGTTTGTATTCTATAGAGTGAATTACTTAATGTCTGTCCCTGTTTTTTCATCATATTCACAGTTGTCTTTTCCTCAAACTCTTGTTTTAAATACCTTAAAGCATCAACACTTTTTTACCTTATTTAAAACATTGATAATGTTGTCAGTATAGCATTAAACAGCAGCTACACACATATTTTGTCCCTGCTCTTAGGTTTTTCTATTTTTAGGCAATACCTACACAACAAACACTCATTCACCTTTCACAGTCAACAGTGACTTTAGGCAGAGCGCTACAGCGTACACTTCCTAACTTGACAATCAAATGGAAGGTGGATGCTCTACTTCTATCAAGGATTGTAAACAGACAAAACCGAGCAACTATGTTAAAAACAATGAAAAAACACAACTGGATATTACTAAAGGCAGTTGTGTTATGGAGGGTGGCTTTACATAGAATAATGCAGGATATGTTTGCTCATGGGCATAAGCATTATTGTTTACAATATAATTATGGTCCCACAAACACAATGAGAAAACACATTTTCACTGTATGGATGTACAACTGGCATTCACACAAAAACGTATCCATGTGGTTGTGTTAATATGAGGTCCCTCATCGCTGTGATGCGTGTTTAACATTACATTATTAACAATACAGTACATGAAATGGAACCTTATTGGAATAGTTTGACATTTTTTGAAAAACTCATACTCACTTTATTGCCGAGAGTTAGCTAAGAAGATTGATAAAGCTCTAGCATCTATCTGTTGAATGTAAAGCTAAAGCCAGGATACAATAGCATTGACTGGAAACAGGCGGGAACAGCTGGTTTTGATCTTCTCGCAAGAAGTAAAAAGTTTGTAGCTTTCTCACTGATGGATAACAACAGCTGCGGTCGGCATGAACTCAGGCACTTACGGTAGATTCCGATGGTAAAACGTTTTATGGCAGGGAAAGTAAATATGGATTGTTATGTTACTGCTGGTAGAAGATGGGACTTCTTAAAGGTTTCTACAGACATTTGGAGTCCATTATAAGTGACTTAGTACTTTAAAGCATACAGGAGGTGTAGAGTGTCACTTTTATTCAAAACAGCACCTTGAGGAAGTGAAGGCCAGCCAAAAATGGACCCAATTCTCCAAAATGTCCTCACTCTCAAGGCTGAAACTCACTTAGGTCCCACCGAGATAGAGAACATTAAACCATGTGCTAGCAGCTGTTGCCAGTATCTAGCTCAGATTCAACTGTGTTCCTGTAATACAATGGCTCATTATTTAGACACACACACACACACACACACACACACACACACACACACACACACACACACACACACACACACACACACACACACACACACACACACACACACACACACACAATGGGGCAGCTTCAGGCCTTGAGATTAGCGGAGATTGACCCCTTCCCCACCCTGCAGCAACTTCCTTTTCGTTTTTAACCAATGGAAATGGTGGGTTGGCAGAAAGTGTAATGTGAAACCGGGGGTCTTGGCTCAACACTTCCAACCTAGGGGCACAGTTGGAGGCCAGCAGAAACAACAGCCGTGGTCTTTCGCACTCTCTCACTCTCGCAGATTTCCCTTACTTTCTTGTCCTCTGTTGACAAACACCATCTGCTGCATACACACAGTCAGACTGTTTTCAGCAAAACACACACTTCTGAGAGCTTTGCCTTGTGGGATTTACACTATGGACTGCTGTTATGGATTATTCATTTTGGTGGCTGACCGTGTGTGTTACCGGCTAGTCTCAGTGTAGCCTAACTGGACACATCGAGGACTCACTAGCCTGCTATCTGACTTAGGTTGTCACTGCCTATTGGAAGCTAGTTAAAGCTAGCCCCAGTGTCTGCATGAGGCTACAGGGCCCTCTCTCTGTGTGGAGGGTGGATGATGCAGTGTGTGCTCTCCTTCATCTCCCCTCAGCTGAGCGCCGGATCCCCCTGTAGCTGTGAGGTCAGCCCCGAAGGAACAAAGAAGAAGAAATCCAAGAACCTGTAAGTACTCAAGCAAATCCCTTTCTTTTTGGTGTATGTCTTTTTTCAGTTTCACCATCTGCTCATTGTGAAAGTTGTAAACAGGGAATAGCATGTTGTGTTTTTACTTGTAACAACATTTAGAAACACATGCCTTGACTAAGGATTACAAATATGTCAGAACGAAAAGGAATAAGAGTGAGTGAGAGCAAGCACAACATATCTTTCATTGTGATGACAAATGCCTTCACCGGTTTTGCTTTCAATTCTCAGTCAGCCTTTTATTTTCATGCTAATTTAATCAACTTGTGTATCCAGAAAAGGCTCTTAATTTCAAACCCTGCTTTAACATCCATTACTTAGATTGGTGAGTGATAAAAAAAAGCACATGGGGGGTTAATTGAGACCCCAGGGCTCATCTGACAACGTGTTGTATAGGTGTGAGTGGATTAGGGAACATGTCAGGACATAATACACACAACAATGGCTATATTTAAAACCTTAAACGTTATTCTCTTTATTGGATACTTTAGTGTATGTCAATGTAAAAATAGGTTTCAGATTTGACTTTTCTTTGCACTTTAATGGTGCATTCAAATATTTTGAGCGCTGTGACAGCCTGTGCAAAACCTGCACGTGTTCACAGAGCTGCAAATGAAGAAGCACGTTTGAGGCTTAAGGTGACTGTGAAAGCTAATCATCCAGTGCTGATTATCATCTACTTAATTAAGTGGAGAATGATGTGTGTGCTGTAGTAACACATGTGTGTCTGACATTCTCGCCTGTGTGAGAAGTAAGGTGTGTAAGATGTGTGTCGACGCCTCAGCTGTTCAATGAGCCTTATTCACGCTCCTGTTCATCAAGATGAAAGCACAATGGACAATGAAACCACTCACAGTGGCTGTCCTTGGGTCTGATGGCTGCCCATTCTTCTGCAAAAGCTGAGTTTTTATGTTGTTTAGTTAACCAGCAGATTAAGTGATTAAGATTCCACAGCCTTTTCCCCGAGTCTGGAATATGTTGCCTTTTGTCCACTGCTGCAAAACTGCTTCAGATCAGCTTTATTTGCATTAATAACACAGACACTTAACAGCATACATTGTTTATTTTTTAGGTTTACAACATGTTATTTATTCCCTTAAAATGTAGTTTTAAATCTAGAATGTGTGATCATTTTTAATAAATGTAAGAAGAAGGAGCAATTGTATTTAACGTCAGACTGGGTACACAAATAACAAGTTAAATAGTTTTAACAATTTGAGTCTAGCCACACTTTGCAACTTGGCTAACAGCATTTGTTGACATAGCTCATCGGCCATGATCTGCAAACAGTGATTTTCTTACTACAGTAGGTAAACAAACATGAATCATGATGTTAGCTCATCTCTCCTTACTCATCACTCTGTCCCTGCTGAGGATTCTGGTTTGGTTTTTAAAGGAATCAAAACTGTGATTAAATGGACACAGTACTTAATAATAAAAAAAACATGTTTACTTCTTCAATAGATCTGTCCATGTTTAAGTGGGATGATGTCATTTTTGATAGACCCAAGTAATGTAATAGGGTTGTAAACTTAGTATTTTTTTTTTTTATGTAGACACTGCTTTTTTTACCACCTCTTCACTTGCATAAATACCCCTATTTTAAGAGATTTTTAATTAAGTAAGTAATTTAGACTCTTTTTATAGTTGACCAGGGTCTGTCTTTTCCTTGTCCCACTGCAAGGTGTTGATTGGCTGCGATGTAAATGTCTGATTGCCCCGCCAGGTGCAACACTAATTACCTTAAATGGTTTCACCTGTGTTTGTGGCTTTTTAAAAGGCACTGCACTGCACTGCATAGGTGTGACGCTGATGAAGAAGAAAAGGTTTTGTCTCTGTCTCTCGTAGACAAAATTAGTTCCATCATTGATTGCAACCATTTTATGCCATTATTAATCAATATGAGAAGTTCATGAGCACTAGTGTTTACGCACGTGTCTTTTAGTTTCCATATTATCCTCAATAATCTGAGCCTGCCATCTCTTATAATCTTTTAGACCCATATCCAGCCATTTTTCATTTCGCCACACTAAACAACACCAGGGGCAATAATCTACTTATTCATATTAAGTCACACCAATAAACATACCTCCAATACAATATCTTTCTGTGTACCTCCAAGGAATACAAATGCAATATGTTGGCTGCTATAGATATACATCTGAGGCTTTCTATACAACTAAACATAAAGGAAATTCAATTATTTCCTCCAGATGTTGGAGGCTGATATTAAATATAACATAGACAGAGCCATTGGAGCGTGTAGATGGAGATTAGTGGCAAACAGTATCTGATCTGGTCAAATTAAATTAAGATGCAGCAATTTATAGCTTAAAGAAGGTATTTTGACCTTTGGCCATGGGATTTTTTTTTGGAGTGGGGGATGTAGTCGATGCACCAGATATTATTTCCTCTCTTCTTAATGTTTCTCCTGTTCTGTGCATTGTGTGCAACTTGGAATATGTTCATCCTACTCTGTAAACACTGTTGTTCTTCCCTTAAGCACCCTACTTATCATTAATGACACAAAGATGACAGCATTTGACATAAAAACATGCATGAAAAGAATCAAATTGATCACATAGAGGTGAAATGATACTTACTTGTGAGAGCATGTTACATCTACCTTCTTCTACAAACAACTGGGTCCATATGCATCGTTTACAATAACAAAGACAAAGCAATCAACTTCTTAAACATGCTCACTCTTCTGCTCTGTTTCTTCCCCCCTGTGCGCTTCCTACACTTCTTTCTTCTCTCCTTTTTGTACGAATGTACTTCCTGTGTCTAGTGTTGTGGATCCAGCACAGCTGTTTTCCTGACATTGTCCACATTATCTCAGCCTCCCCCCCCCCCCCCCCCCCCCCCTCTTTTAACACATTGTGTTACCCACTCCAGGTGTTCTGCTACCCCGAGCTATATATCCCTGCACTTAGCACTATACTGCTTTTTCCCAACCGGTGATTTACAGCAAGTAGCAATAAAGCCATAAAACTACATCAACTAGCGCACCAGAGAGATCGGTGTGGAAATGTAGATTATTCCAAGGTATCAAAGTTTGATTCATAAAGGCAAGAAATACTGACAGTTGGAGAGAGACGTTTTTATTACAAACACAGCACATATTACATCTGTATGTTTGTGTTTCTGTATATAAATGTATATATGTATCTCTATATATATATTTGTAACCTGATGTTATCTTCTCAGTATTGAGAGATGTAGAGTAATATTGTTCACAGTTTTGATCCTGTGCCATCCCTTGTAGCAGTTCCCAGGCACACAATTGATTTCACCTGTTGTTGTTGGTTTTTTCATGGTTTTGCTGCCAAAATCCATGTGAGTGTGTCGTGAAAGTTGGCAGAAATGAACATTAGTTCTTTAGTTTGACATGATGTGCACTGACCTTGTTGTACAATCAGTGCTGACATTATGTGAACCACTCAAAGCCATTATGTCTAAAAAGCGTCTTCGCCTTTCAGGTTATATAAATACATCTACAAGTACGTCTTTTACAGTTAAGTGGACTCCATGAAAAGGGAACCTTATGTCCTCACCTTATGAAAAAGAAATAACAGAGACACAGAAATAACAGCTGGATCCCAAGGTGTGAACACTTAGGGCACTTATTGCACATTACCAGAGACAATAGTGCTTTAAAGAGTGCTCCACATGTTAACCATTGCACTGCTACAACATTGTTCATTCGTTTTATTCCATGCATTCTTCTTACTTGTCAAATCCTAGCACCTACTTTACCCCCATTTTCATTGTTCTAAGCACAGTGACAATAAAGATCCTTCTATCAACACACAATGCAACTTGACCGCCATCATTTCAATCGTAATCTAATAAAGTAGCATGACTTGAGGCAACTCTGTTTATTACTTTTTACAGTTTTCATGCAGAAACACCCCCAAAGGCCTCGAAACAAGCTTTGATGTGTAGAATGTGTGGAATTGTATTCCCCACAAGAACTGTGTTCACGCTTTTTCATTAACTTTGTTAGAATGAGACAAAGTTGGATTTCTACATACTAATAGACCTTAAGTTTCATACATTAAACTTATAACACGACTCTGTCTGGACTTATATTGTACATTTATTGAATCAGAGGGACAACACACAATCTTGAATCAAGCATCAGCACTTGAGGTTGTAACATCATGTTTAAAACATGACTAAAGCCTGTCAAGTAAAGTAGGTAAACAGGGAGCAAACTGATGTTCATCTATTTTCAGTTCTTGATTGAACAGATTAGATTGTATTGTCACACAGACAGCCAGTTATGAACTTATCTATTGAATTCAATTTAATGCGAACAAGCATTCACTGCACAAACTACAGAAGAGATAATATGATAATTTGATGCTTTTTAAGTCTCTCTTGTAGCGTGTTGTTAGATTTAAAACAGACTGCTGATTTGATCTGAGACAGATGAACAGTTCCTTACATTAGTAAAGTCATTGATTTCCCTCAAAAGACAAATGTCACCTCCACTTACCAACCCATAAACAAAAACAAAATCTCTAGACCCCAGTGGAAGGAATCTGTGCTCTCTAAACTCTGCGTGGTGATTGGGTTAGCCCAGGGTCCGCCTTCCCCAGACCCCCCGGACTATATAACCAACACATCCTCTCAGGGGTTAGAGGAATGTGATTGTCAAACAAACCCCTGGGCCCCGAGCACCTCCTGACACACGCTTTCATGCAGTCTTATTTCCACACCCACCAAGTGAACCTGCGTACAGGCTGGCACCCATGTTTCACACTATGGTTGATTTCTCAGAGAAGTACCTGGAAAGGTAAGAGCAAGGCTCATCTGCACTTTGATTATCGAGAATAAGAGACATCAGAAGAGAGGATGAGGGAAGCGTGGGAGGGGGCTGTAATACATCCCACAGGAATCGATGCTCTAAAGCTGGTAGGAAGCTATCTGACCTCTACATGGATCTCATTTGACAGTCGCAGTGAGGGAGACGAAACCCCCGTGAGACCAAAGGGCTCAAACTATTTTGGAGCAAGGAGTTTTGAGTTCTAACTCGAGGCTGCCCCTTTTTCTTATTATACGCAGCCTGGATTTCAGGAATAGGATTGCTCATGTGGTCTTGGTGGCTAGGAAGGTGAGTGTGCTCAGAAATAGAGCTTTTTGGGGGGGTTTGATTGAGGAAGACTGTGAATGACATAGCGATATATTTATGGATGAAATTTAGGACAATTCCCTTTTTCATTGTGCTTCGAGGAACATGGCAGAGTGACTTTCTTTGTTGTGAGGCACTTCTCTTTCTTTTTGTGTTACTAGTGTGTCATCTGTCACCTCTCTGGAGTATTTTGTATGTGAGCAAAGCACAGAACAAACAGTTACAGTGTGTAATCATCTTTTTAGTCAGAGCCCAAGCCATGGAAATGTTATTTCAAGTGTTACAGACACACTGACACAACCCTTGACCCAATACTCTCGCACAGAGGCACAAACAGAGCCACGCGCTTCAACAGTGTTGTTTGTGTGGCGTGTTCTGCATACACAGCCTTCTCTAAATAGAAAGTGGCAGAGGGAGTCAGAAACATGCTTGAAACTTGGCCGCTGCTCTCACTGACTGTATTTCAATGCTGTACTCATCACTGCACCCCAAATCTCATGGGCTTTACAAAGGGCAGAGTCCTCTCTTTGTGGGGAACAAAGCTCTACATAGCAAACAACAAAGGTGGGATGAAATGGGCCAGTGGATTTGGCTTGTGTTAGCATGGTTCTTTGTGATCTGCAGTGTGTCTGTCTGCAGTTCTCGACCATGTGCTCCCAGAGCCTTTCCCTGGGAGTGCGGCCTACTTTCCAGAACACCAGGAATAGCCGGTGGGGTGCTATTAGTGTATCTAATGTGAGCCAAGCAAAGAGGGAATAAGAGGACGGAAACCTGCAGATAATTGTGGAGATAAAAACCTCTCACGTCTTCACTCAAGCACATACATCGCTCTCTTGCAAAGACACCAACAGACACTCAGGTGTTCACATGCTGCAAACATACAGTAGGCATTTTGTGAGCTTGCTGGGCATTGGACGATACATTTATGGATGGCAAACATGTTGGATCAAAGATCATCATCATTTGATAATCCTTTAAAGAGCATGTGTCAGTCTTTTAGCAGATTACGTTAAGTGGAGGGTTCAGTGCGTGTCATGAATCAAACGGAGTGTGATTAGTGTACACCGTGAATGGTGTTAGTGCTGGGGAGTTATTTGCAGATACAGTAAAGTATGAACTCTAAATACAGAGGTGCTCAACGTGAGAGACTGCGAGAGGTGCCATTAGCACACAGGGAGCCTAGGTGCTAAGAGAACTGTGTGCAATATCATTCTTGAGTGACGTTCCTCGAAATAGACTCAAGTACAACACTACTTTCCGTCTATGATATTGATTAAAACTGATAAAGAGATATCTGTGACCGTGGTTGGAGTTGGCCTAAGAGTGTGGCTGAATCAGTCCATTTCTCCTCTTGTTGTAAGTGAGAGTTAAGTGTTTAGAGTTCCACCCAAGAAGGTTTTACTCAACATGCTAATAGTTTTTTATAACAATGCAATCCTCTACGTCTGGAGGTCACAGACATGAATGTAGCCCACTGGCTGTCGCTGTTCAAAGGGTGTGTTTAGGGAGGAGTATTGTGGCCTTCTTTCAAGTCGGAGTTGCTGTTGACTCCCGTTGAGTTAATGTCCACGCAGGCAGTTTCAATTATGGCTTGAGTTTCCCACACCTCCCACAGTGTGACCTATTATGCGGAGGTGAGAAAAGGATTTCTGCAGTTGCCAATGTGAAGTGGTTTGAATGAGGCAGCTACATGATATGCAATATAAATGAGATGTTTTCAAGAATAGTGTCAGTTCTGTATTCAAGTATAGATCCTCGGATTATGTAGGATCAAGCTGTTTCCAGTGTTGACACCAATTATTGGGAATAGAAGAATTTCAGGCAATCAGTTCTGCTTGAAGCCGGAAAATGCCATGTGTTGTGTTTGCAGTATCCATTGGCACCCACATGGTGGCAGGATAGAAACATACATTTATCTTAAAGTGACTGTTGCCATGACATCATTGTCACATCATACTCACACGGGCTCAGCTTGTATAAAGCCAGACATAAATAATAAGGCGTCTTTTGTCAGGCCAGGAAAATATTTTCCAGCCCATATAAAACACGTCTCTTCCTCACATGCACTGGCAAGAAGGAGGCTGTCTTGGAGCTAACACATGAACCGCTCAAGACCTAATTGCCTCGAGCGGCCTAAAAATAGAACAATCTAATGAATCCCGCTCTGATGTTATGAGTTTATTTAACAGCAAGAGAGTTTTTATTTGGGTGATAATGTCCTTCAGGCTGGCAAGTGTGAGCGTTACTCAGGGGTACTGCGTAAGAGCGCCCTGATGTTTTGCAATAAAAGAGAGGTCTTAATACAGCAGTTCAGCATCTGGTATAATCCTGCCTCATACAGGACACATAGGTTGTTTCAATCAATGGATGAGTCATCCCTCCACCAGTGATGCTGTGTGGCCGGTCCGGTATTTCTTAGGATTAGATGTGGAATTCATTTCAAATGTGTCCTCTAAACGTCTTTCACCGTCTCTTTTGTTTTGAGTCTATTTGGGGAATTTCAATCTTTTTCCACTTATCTTGTCTGGGAAAAAGAAAAACCTTCCACATTCTGGATATCCACACTGATGGATGCTTTTTCGATTTATTGCTAGTACATCTATTTTCTATGTCACTCATTTGGCATTTCCACCCTCCTGAACTTTAGCAACGCTCTGAAAAAGGCCTCCTGTGGTTTTCTGAATCACCTAAAGTAATCTGCACCAGCTAACCCCCCAAACCCAAACAAACCAAAATCAATACACCCACAAAGTCGCACTCATCGTGATTTTTAAAGGAGCTATTCAGCTGCTGTTCCCCAACAGCTCATGCAGTCATGTTGTATCATGTGTGCGGGCATGTTTCTACCTTTCCTGTCCTTCGGCAGTTGGAAAACCTCACACCAGACAGCTGACTGTGTTCTCTGTTCGGTCCCGCAGCCACGAATGTAACCACCGTGCATCTACGCATGCATAAATTATCTCTCCCACTTCCCATCACTCACCGGTGGAGACTGGGAGTTCTCCGACACCTGTGATAGGCATGAAAGCACCAGTGAAGTGGGCATGAGTTGGCACAGGTGCAGAGGGGGTTCTTTGAAATATACGTGTGGGTGTTTCTTTAATCCCCATCCAAGTACATTTCTGTACAGTTCTTGTGCTAATCCGCAGTTGTGAGTTCTTCCAACCCCCTGTGTGTGCACGTTAGAATCATAAGTGTCTATAACTGGAAGCCTTGTTTCCTAATTTGGGGTGTACATGCCCTCCTGGGGGCTGATGGCTGGCGGTGGCACAGCTTGCAGTGATTAGCTCACACCGCCGTGCTGCATTATTAGCGGGCCAGCCAATCCACAGTGGAAATCAAAAGCAGGGACTCAGGAAATGGGTGTTGAGTGAGGTCACATCCCAATGAGGCAGCACGTGCTCCGGGTCGGGAAAAGCCAGGACAGGCACCATGGGATTATGGGAATGCGCAGGATTCTGTACGAACCCTTGGGGACCGAGGGTTGGTGTATCACCTTGTGTGAGATTTAAGGTGGCGCATGATGGCAGCGTGTGTGTGTGTGTGTGTGTGATGGTTCGAAGGTGAAACAGGTCGGTCAGGGGGTCTTGGATGCTGCTGAAGGCGAGCAGCAGAATAGGGGTCACTGTGCCCTGTTGCCTCGGCCCTGGGTCACCTCCCTCTCAGCAAGCCCTCTAGGCACATGGAGAGATGGCGTGATGAAACAGAGGAGTGAGGATTGAGTCTCTCTCCTCCTTCTCTGCCACATTCGCTCAGTCCCTGCCGAGGAACCTGCCAGGGACGCATCTCCACGAAAGACTGTTAGAGATATTAGATTGACAGGCGAGGCGCTGACACGAAGCGGGCAAAGGGAGCTTGACAGCCGCCTTTTTGGAAAAGTTTTGGCTGACACACCTGGCTGAAGACTAAAATGTACACAATACAACGTTTATTTTCAACCTTTTCTGGCTTTTGTGGGTTTGATTTCATGTGGATTTACAATGCGGAATATCTTAATTGGTGATTCCCTTGGCTTGGATTGTTTTAGTTGTGGACTTTGGACTCGGGCTCAACACACTTTCTTCCCATGTCTCCTTTTATCCACCTCCTCTGTCCCCTTTATCATTCCTTTCATCCTCATTCCATTGACCTTCTTAACTTTCCCTCTCCTTCTGTTATCATAAACCTTTCCTTCACTCTCCCCTTTGTTCTTCCTCTCTCTATCTGTCCTTCACCCAGGGCCAAAGACATGAAGAATCGGCTGGCTTTCCTGCGGAGGAGGAATGAATCCCCAGGAAGCAACCCAGCCAGCAAGTTAGACAAATCTATGAAGTCAGTCAAGTAAGTGGCCGCTTCCTGACAGCGTGTGCATGTGGGTGGGAGTGAGACTGTTTTCCGGGTCTTGCCACAACTGGTGATGAGCTGGCCTTGGCAGACAGACATGTGGGCAGCAGCAGCAGGGATTGGAGGGTGCTTGTAATGTGTGGCGTTAACGAAATGAATGAGAGAATGTTTATTTTAACAATGGCGCATTTGAAGGGGAGATAGCTAATTTTGTGTCTTGGCATTGGATTTGTATTTATATAGATAATGTGAAAAATAGCATATGCTGTTATAGATGAATGTATTCAAATGTCTTCCATTTTATAACTTTAAAAAGCTGGCGCATTGACAAGCAGCTGCTTCAACACATGAACGCAATATCTGTTCTTAATTGTTTCTAAAAGACAGTCAAATAAACAACAAAACAGCATTTTTAAAACTCATTTTCCACATGAATGTCTGCTGAAAACAAAAAAGGCACATCAAATATCCACATACACCAACATGTAAAATAGATAACATATCAAACTTGTGTTACAGTATAAGTGAATGCCTGAGATGTGTATTACAGACAGCTTTACAGCAGTCTACAGAAAGAATGAGAGGCAGCAGGGGGCAGCCAAACACTGGTGGGGGAGGAGGTCTCTAAATCTGACAACACATCCCCATTGGTTGGCTGGAGCCCCTCCTCTCCCTCCTTCCAAGTGGCATTGAGTGGGAATATATAAGCCTCCCCCCACCAGGGTAAAGCAGATAGACTCATGGCTCTCAGTGCTCTCAGCTTTCACAAAGCAGAACCGCATGAGAGGAGAAGAGCAGTAGACTAGAGAGGAGGGATACAACGGAGAGGAATTACCTGCATCGGTTTCCACTCGTCCACACAGCATAGACAGAGTTCTGCGGATGGGTCACACAATGAGAAACCTGGCTGAGATGGGCTTGTTAAAGAATCGCTCTGCTTTTATCTGCAGGCCCACGGCAGAGGAAGCACTCAAATGGGGGGACTCACTTGACAAGCTGCTGACACACAAATGTAAGTCACTTTTGTATTCCTTTTGTATGGCTTGTGTTTCTCATCTACTAATTAACCTCCATGGCTATCATGTGTATTTTAGTTTTTGATAGATTGTGCAGCATGATTAAAGTGCAAAACTGTTGTAGATAGTGGGTTAATGTAGACATACAGTGCTTGCATGAGGGGGAGGGTGGGGAGCACAGGGAAACATATGCACTGATATATGGATTACACACACACACACACAGAGAGCTGCAGCAAGCGTGCGTTTGCATCAAGTTTCCCCAATCCCAACAAACGACTTCCATGCAGTAAATACAGATGAGGAAAGACTAAAACAGGCAACCTGCAAGTTGCTATCTCCACCCCCCCCCCCCCCCCCCCACAGTTTATCTTCCCCACTGTTGAATCCCAATTCTTCTCAAAAGCTGATAGAAAGCCAGCCCTACATCTGTTCCTCGTTGGGCTCAGTTGGCCTCTTTTCTCTCCCCCCTTCTTATTTCCTCTTACCTCACTCCTGCTTACCAGAATGAGGTAAGAGATGACTGCCTTCACTGGCTCTGCTTATCAGCGTGGCGTGGGTGATTCATGGGAACGGAAAGGTGCAGACGGGAGAAGTGGGTGGACACAGCTTCCTGCTATTCTTTCTTCTGGATGCCTTCTTCCTCAAATCATTCACTGGACTGAAACTTAAAATGCCCAAAGTGCCAGAATTAGCCCTTTCCTCCTTACACTAGAAAAAAAAAAAGTGCCCGAGTTAGTCATTTTCCTCTTACACTGAAACAGTCTTCCCTTTGTTCATTCACAGCATGGGTAAAGGGGAATGCAAAGATGTCATGCTGCAGGGTGGGTGATGTCACCTTAAATATGTTAAGACTTGAATGTACCCCGCAGTGTTGTTAGGGTTTTTTTATGCCTCACTTTATTCCAACCACATGATTCAAGAGGCCGTCACAGCGCTATTTTGGTCTCTGAAACTCCAAGGAGCGCTTGAGCTGTGAGGTTGCCATGGCACTCGAGTCAACTCTCCTCTTGTTTATTCTCCACCTCCTTCTCTCTGCTTTCTCTCAGATGGCCTGGCAGCGTTCAGAGCTTTCCTGCGCACAGAGTTCAGCGAGGAGAATCTGGAATTCTGGCTCGCATGTGAGGAATACAAGAAGGTTAAGTCGCAGTCCAAGATGGCCTCCAAAGCCAAGAAAATCTTTGCAGAATACATCGCGATCCAGTCTTGTAAAGAGGTGAGTGAGAGTTCACACACAGGGGGGGGGATGGCGTCAAAACAGCTTCCTGCAAAACAACAACAACATGCATTTCTCCTCCTGGTATTTCTTTAAAAATATCATTGTAATTGTGCACTTCTCTAACTTATTTTGATCTGTTTCTCCCTGCAGGTAAATCTGGATTCTTACACCAGAGATCACACTAAGGACAACCTGCAGAATGTGACACGCTCCTGCTTTGACCTAGCACAGAGGCGGATATACGGGCTGATGGAGAAGGACTCATACCCCCGATTCCTGCGCTCAGAACTCTACGTGGACTTAATCAACCAAAAAAAGGCTAGCCCCACTCCGACTTCATCTTCTTCATAAGAGCCCTGAAAAGATCTGTGGAGAAGAGAATCACGTAGAGAGAAAAAAAAGGGTCAGACTTGAAAAAAAGTAGAGCGGGCGGGAGGTGTCTTTGTTTGCCTTTTTTTTTTAAACTTTTTGGTTGTGTATGTCATCCTGTCCACTATGATTTTGTTGTTGTTATGATGTGAGAGGACGTGGCAAAGCTATGGCACTGCAAAGGAATGTAGTTTACACAGTTACCAGGCGGATGGATGAATGAATGGACGGATGAATGGATGGATGGTTGTGTAAAAAGTACAGAAGCCCACAGGCGAGGGCTGGAGCAGGAGCTAGTGTCTGATCACTGTTTCTCTTTTTTTGTGGTGTCAGTCTTTTGGTTGTGTTTCTACGTTTTTTCCCCCAGTTGTACTGGAGGAAAAAGAGGGGTTGCTCAGAAAACCCCGCAGACATGAAGACAGTCCGGTACTGTTTTGTCACTTTTTTTCCTTAATTTCCTTTTAAGACTCCCACTTTAAATCCCCTCCTTTCCTCCACCATGTTCTCTGTGAAGCCACTTCAAAGCTGTCGGTACGACACCAAGTCCTTTCCCTTCATGTTCTTTTCTCATTCAAACTGTATTAAAGAGGGGTCAAAAAACAGGATGTCTGAATGAAAGCTAGCATAATGGCTGCTTCACGCACATCTCTGTTAAACACCTGCACCCTCCTGTAAAGCTTCTGCAAACAGCTTTCCCCTTAGTGCATCCCAAGACTGTGGAAAGACAAAGATGGAGACAGAGATGGGCAAAGAACACAAACGTATAAATAACGGATGGACTGGAGCTGTGATGAAACGCAGATATGTGTCACTCTCACATTAAAAGACATTTAAAGTTGCATTCGAAGCCAGTAGCGGAAGAAAAAAAAGACGACTTGCTTCCTGTCTCCAAAGACTGTTTACAACAAGGAACGAAAACTGAAGAATAAAATGTTCCGAGCAGCCAAACGACATTTGCTTTACCATTGTAGCTCATTCTGGACTAATCGAGGAAGCTTTTCTCAGGACATTGCCACGACTCCAGCTTGGTTTATCTTTGGTTTTTCTACACACTCATTGTTTTTATATGCTTTAGCGTTCCAACCTGCACTCCCCATTTCTCCTGAGCAATACACAAAAGGTTGCTCGTTTCTTGTTGGAGGAAAAAAAAAATGTTGTACAAAGGTTTGCCTATTTATTTAGATTAACTTGCTGGATGCTTCTACAGACACCCTCACCTCCTCTAAAGCACTCAGCTAAAAAAGCTCTCACTTTCCTCTTAACCATTAAACAGGTCCAATGCCTGAACTTTAAGTGCAATATTGTTTTTTTATTTGATTGTTATGTTTGGTTTGTTCATTTATTTGTATAGTTTTGAATGTGTATGGGAAAGATGAACGGCTTGAGCTCTGTATTAACTGTATTTGTTAAGAGAGAAAAACACATAGAGCTATAAGGTTGACTTACAACGTAAACTTTCAAGAACCATAAGTAGTTTAATGAATTTTAAGCAAGTGATTCTAACTGTGTGTTAACCCCTGGCAGCAGGCAGCTGGGGGCTGTTATGGTTGTAAATATAATTCTTTAAGAAAACTGTGATAACACATTAAAAACAAACAAAAACATCAAACCCATAGGTCTCTGCTGGTGAACATGGGACCCAGCTGTAACTATGTACATATGAGAGACTCGCAACTATAAGATGACATGTATTGTTTAAAAGAAAAAGCTAGAGCAGGTACAATCTGCTCTTTTCCCTGGTCATACACTGCTTGTAAGGAGTTTTCTGAAATGCATTTTATCATTTTCACTGTTTACAATTCAAAATGCATCTCCTATGATAGCAAGAGAAACAGTAGAGTACATTTGGTGTCAATGCTAATGATAAATAAACCAACCAACTGATGAAGTGCGATGTGTTGTCTGATTATTCTTGTAATGTTCATTTACCAATGTGTATTGGTCACAAACATGCCCATAAGCATGCACTGATACAAATGTAACACACTGTTAACCTTAAGTCAGGGGTGTCAAACTTAAGGCCCGGGGGCCAAATCCGGCCCGCGACTTCATTTTATGTGGCCCCGCAAGAGCTTGCAAAGAATATAATACGTTTAATATATGGTTACATGCCGCTTTACAGAAGCAGGTTGCCCATAAACTACATGTCCCACAATGCATCTCATTTTGTGACATGCGCACTGAAGAGACTTGCAATTATTTGCCCTGGACTTCCGCTTTCAAACGTAGTTAATTATTACCCTATCCAATAATAATCCAATTCAGAGGCAATAATGTAATATAATACATTATTTTATATATATATTATATATTTATATATGTATATTTATATAGTTACAACCGGCCCTTTGAGTGCAACCATAATGCTGATGTGGCCCGCGTTGAAATTGAGTTTGACTGATATGATTTGATATGGTTATTATCAAAAAAGTAACTGAACAATAATTAATTCCTCTCAATGATAACATCCTCACAAAATTGAAACACTGAAAACTAATTTGACATCTAAAACAAGAGCAGTTAGAGGAATATCCACAGTTTACCGTCTGTTTCCTGGTTTAAATGTGAATTTCCTAGTCATGCACACAGTTTACCAACATTTTGGTTTTACCCCAAAAATACACTGCTTGAATAATATTGCTAACTTGTAGGTTTGTTCAAACCTGTCTAACTGTGTGAATACTTTTGTTTGTATCCCCTTTATTCAAATTAATGTCACTGTGTTCCTATAAGTACAATAATATTACCATAACCAAAAGATAGTAAGTCAGAAAGCATTGACCTACGCCAAGGCTAAATGCCTCAGAATGTTTATGAAAGTGAAAATACATACATATACTTAAGTGTATCTGAATGGGTTCTTCCTTATCCCATGCTACGCCCTTTCAATTGACATGAAAATTAGGATGTTTTTACGCAATCCTGCTTACAGACAGACACTCAACACATCGAAGACGTAACCTCATTGGTTGGGGTAATGATGGCCAAAACTACAACAGGAAGTTTGAAGTTGTCAACAGGATTCTCTTTAATAAATCCCACATCTATGAAGATACAAATGGAACAAATACATTGTCTTCCATACTTTGGCAACAGTCCAAAATGTTGGGTGATGGAGTGGAGTCGTATGGAGCTGGAACATCACGACTCCTCCTGATCCCAGCTGTGTTGTTCTTCTGAGAAGAAGAGCCAGTGAGTGTGACACAGGGTCGAGTGTTGAGGGGCTGTTGGGCTGTTGGGCTGTTGGGCTGGGATGAGAGGAAACAGATCTGTGTGTGTGTGTGTGTGTGTGTGGGGGGGTGTGTGTGTGTGTGTGTGTGTGTGTGTGTGTGTGTGTGTGTGGGTGTGTGTGTGTGTGTGTGTGTGGGGGGGGGGGGTGTGTGTGTGTGTGTTTGTCAGTGTTTGGGGGGGTTGATCAGTCTGAAGTAGTGTTGGAAACAGAAGTAACAGCGCCTAATCCTCTTTACCAGCTGCCATCTGTTTTGACAGACACAGCGTCTTTTCCCAAAAGGAATTGTAATCAACCTTACTATCGCCTCTCGTCCTGTTTCCTCTTCGTCCCAATCCCTGTCGACTCTTTGTCTTCAGAACCCACGCTTGTATTTTTGTTTCTACCCTCATCTTTAATGGCATACAATGGAGGGCCCGCACTGGAGCTGGATTCCTTCACCAAATCCTTTGTTTATGTTTCCTTCCTCTTCCATCTGTGTAAACCATATTATAGTGCCTGTCATTGTTTTCAAATTCAGCTGTCACATGAACCCCAAAAACAGCTATAGCATTTCCTCTCTTATGGCCATTGATGTTTCCTCCACAGTTTCCGTCTCTTATCTTACTTGGTTGGAAGTTCAAACGGATATGGAGTCACTCTTTTATTATCTTTACAGCCCTTTTTCAATGTTGTCCTTATAAAGATACCCATGTCTTGTCTTATGGGCTGCAGGGAAATAAGCTTCCCGTTCCTTTTTCTTTATTGCTTTGTCAGTTCAGCTGCCCTCACAGCACACATGCTGTGTAGTTAAAAAAGTGTAGTTCTGGCATAAAATGATCATTCATTGCGTCTGACTAACATTGTTGGGAAATGGTTAAACTTTATAAAAAAAACATTTGATTTCTTGTCAGGAGTTGCAACATTGTCTTTGTGGGCAGAAAGTTATTTAAAGTGGACCTACCATGCTATATTTGAATAATATATTGTAGGGCCATACCTATATAAGGTATATTTATAAGTTTTGCTTTTTCAAAATACCAAACAGATCATGCATTTTAGCCATGCCTCATTTCGCTCTATTTTGCTCTCCTCCACCCTGTCTTAGTTTGCATGCGCTGCAGCTGACCACGAGTGTCGTGTTACCATGCTGTTACCATGCCACGGCAACCTCTCATTCCCCTGATAGGTCAGCTCCTCCGTCCTGACATCAGAGAAATGTTCAAATCTGGATCAGTCTGTATCAGATCCGTTGCAGCCCCTTTTTTAGAGATTTGGGTATGGAGGAAAAGAGAGAGGCTTGTGTTTTCTGACACTTGGTTAGTTCCCTGGAACACCGGGGACACATATTCATGTATAAAAGACGTACACAAGTGCATTTTGCATGATAGGTCCCCTTTAAAGATTCATGTAAAGTCATTTCTACACATCAATTATTTCACGACATTTACAACTCTTGCAGATGATCAAAATACATAAATATATCAGAAATAGTGTGTGTATTTATATCAGTTTCAGTACCATGAATACAAAAAACCCCATAACATGGTTCCTGCTGAATTCAGTGGGAGTCCCCTTCTCGTCTCTCCCCTATTTGCGCTTCAGTCAAGGGGCTTAAGCATTGATTAATCCCTAATTCTCAGATCAGCCTATCCTTTCAGCTCTTGGCAGGTTTACAAAACAAACATCACGTCTCTCCAGCTGCCCTCAGTGGACACCTCAGCCTTGTTTAATGTTGAGGAAATGTGTTTGTTGTTTGCTCGACTTGACAGTAGTACTGCATAGAACAAGTGTCTTTTTGAACACATAGTTTCATCCCCACAGTTTATTGCCAATTAAAACACAATTAGATTAGGATCATAACTAGTTTTCTTTATGCGTATCATTTCTACATTCATCACATTTTCTGACCTGCTGCACAAGGTGACGCCATTATTAACGTCAATATTATGTTTATTTTCTTGCAGCCTTGATACCATCTGTCAATTCACAGATACGGCGTACACATTTGCAGATTCTGGCACAAGAGGGAAACTCGCTCTCTGTGATAAGAGCCAACTGTGCTGAGCTCACCTTTATTATTTTTTCAGTAATAAATAGTGTACCTTTCTTACTGTCCTAATGTGCATAATGTAGTGACTGCTTTTTCGTCTTTTGTTTTCTTAGTTATGTTCTCTGTATTTTATATGTTTGTGTTATGTGTTATGTGTAACGTTGCTGCCTTCTTGGCCAGGTCAGCATTGAAAATGAGATTTTATCTCAATGCTTTTATCTGGTTAAATAAAGGTTAAATAAAAAAATTAAAATGATGGGACATTCACACATGGCACACCTGCCTCATGCACAGCCCAGTGCTTGTGCAGTTAATTAGCATGTAGCTTGATAGCTTAAGCGGATGTCGTTTTTCCTGCTGGTGGACAGGGACTTTAAATACAACAACAGACAGCGGAAGGGACAGTGGAAGGAAACAGAACGTAATTGTCTTATCCCAGTGGTCTAATCAGAAAAAGGTCACTTTTATATATAGATGGCCTTATACAAATAGATAAACTTTATCGGGTATTTCTGATGTTTTAGCGAAATTCTGCACATACTGTAGGCCCCAAATATGACCTATTGGGAGAAATCCTCTAGTGTGGGTGTGAGAACCTTAGAACAAAACTCTTTCATTTGTTCTTGAACACGCGCAGATTAAACCAGAGATTCATGCTGTACTCACAGGAAGCAGCTGTGTCTGTGGACCTCGGAACAAGACACACAGTACGCACACAGAATGACAGACTGCGACCTTGTAGCTATCTGATTAGCGTAACAAAAATATCAAAGAAAGGCCTTTTTTATTAAGAAGATTTCACGATTATGATAAGTATTCACTTTTTTGCAGAGAGTTAGATTGATCCACTAAATATGAATGTACAACTGGCAGCTGGTTAGCCTAGCTTAACATTACTTCAGGATACAGCAGGACAGAGCTAGCTGGATCTGTCTGAAGGAAACTAAATTCATCAGTTGTTGCGCACTTATTCTTACTCTTTGTATTACAACATGCAAATACTGAAGGGTAAGGATTCTTTTTTTCTCTCGTTTATTGTCATGTGCGCTAACATCTCTTGGCTTTGCACAACCTCCCGGGTACGGCAAAACTCAAGGTACTAACTTCCAAGAAACTCTCTATTTATAACCTCCTGTAAAACAAAATAGTTGTGTTGTTTGTTAGTGAATCTAGGGACAGGTAGGAATATTTTAGTTGCCTGTTGTTTCCATGTTTCCAGTCTTTTAAAAGCCCCAGTGCTTTTTGTACTGCTGTGACTGAAGCAGGAGAACTGTATTCACGTTCAGCACAAAGCAATTACGGTGTCAAGGACATTCAGATTGTTCCGTCCTGGAGCCAAGCTGTTCCTGTGCTTAACTGCTGGTTCTGCTAAACTCCTCAGATAATATCACCAAACCATCAATTACATTACACAGTTGTTTTCTGGTACCAGACCGACACCTTAAAACAATATGTTGTCTCATTCTCTCCACCCAAGTCATTTTAAGATTTCTTGTCACTTCTGCTGCTCCTGAAGCTCAAGGACACGGTGTCCTTCCCAGGAGAAGCTTTAGAGGTGACACCTCTCCAGATGGTCTTCCATAATGAAACAGCATTTAATCAACACAGTGCATCAATTTATTTTGAG